ATCATCAAGTGGGAAAACAAAATCATGTGACTGTAGCTTACTTTAACACAACGGGAGTGTTTAATCCTACCACATGGAAGGGACATTATAGGGAAGGTTACCAGATCTGAGTTAGTAATGATACGATCTGACATTGGAGTAAAGGAGGGTGCTATGTGTACAGGAAAGGTTCTCTACCTAGACTTAAAAGCTATATATTTTCAAATTACACAAGAAGTGGTAAACTCCAGTGATTTGGAAATTACAGTTTTTAAGTTAATAGTGAGGTGGGCTTATGCTTTATTTTTAAAAGAATTCTTATTTCAGAATTTATTTAAAGAATGATAGTGACTATTAGAGAAGAATAATATGCAATTATCTCTCCCTTTACCTTCCACTTTATTCAGCTACAAAAGATCAGAAAAAGCAAATCAAGGTCATTCTCTAAATAATGGATCTTTGATATTATATAAAAATATGATATAAATACACCATCCAAAATTGAGCTTGAGTATAAAGAGCAGGCACATATCCAACCAATTTATTTAGATCAAATGGGTATTGTGAAAACTTTAAATAAATAACTGATAAGAAAGAAATACCTAGTAATAAAGAATGCTAAAATAAGATAATAAAATCTCATGTGAACCCATGGGAAATATAATGTTACAGCAGGAGAACTGACAACAAAATTAAACTAATAAATGAGAACTATATAGTATATCAATTCCATAACTGCAGTGAATGCACAATTTTGCTTTTCCAATAAAGTGGCTTATTTATTTTTTTAGGAATAGGAATAAATATTGAGAATTTTTTAAATCCAAAGTTATTTCAAGTTCCTTTGAAGAAGTAAAATAAGTGGAGTGTAACTGACTTTGGGACTATAGAAAACCTGTATATTTTAGGTTTCACAGAAGCGAAGGTGAGGGTTCCCAGCTCAGATATTGGCTTATTTTCAGCAAAACCACAAGAATATCAAATAACTTGGGCCTTGACAAGAAAAGACTGTAGACTTTGTAGTCAAAGACCTTGATTTTCCAGTGAGGAAGTAAGATGTTTGGACATAGGAAGACTTTGTTATTATGCCATATTTTTTTGTTTTGTTTTGTTTAGTATGCAAGAAAGTTTAGTACTTAGTGTATAATTCGACATTGCAAATACAATACAATAAAACACACACTTTGCAAATTGTGACAATCCATGGCAACTAGTTTAGCTAAGAATTACAAATCGGTGGGTTCAAATGGCAGACAAAGTTTGTAGGAAAAATAGTCAAATTCTATGATGGGATGTGTGAGTTCTCCTGTATTTTTGTCTTATCTTTGCCAATAAGATTCGATGCCAGGCCAGACAGTGGCATGACAGTTAAGGTGACTGGATTCCATATGGCTAACTGCATGATTCAAGTCCTGACCTGGTGGCTTGCGATACCAGGTACCTGAGTGCGTGTGTGCACAAAAGTCCCAAAAAGAAAGAGGGAAGACAGGGGGTTGTGGCATGGCTTTCTTACTTTTCTTCTCTTTCCATTATACTTGCTATTTCAATTCCTTCTGTAATGATAAATATTACAAGTACCTGAGAAGTTAAAAAAAAAAAATGTCTTTAACTAATTATACGTCAAATATTCCTAAGAGGAAGTTGCTACCATAAGATGTTTATAACTCTTTTACATATGAAGAAGTAATCGATAGAGAGGTAGGGATATTACAAAGATGATTAACAAAGTCTAAAAAGCTCAACTCTTCAACTCTGGCATATTCTACAAAACAGGCTAAATTCATCTCCATTATATATAATCCAAAGTGTGACTTGTAATGTCTACCTTATTTATCTCCAGTCTCCAAACTCAGTCATCTTAATAATGTAATTCCTGAGAGAGGATTAAAAACCTTACATCTCTAAAGTTGGTGGAATGTCATGTGGCAAAAGGCTAATTAGAAGAGCCTTGATAGACTTCAGAGAGAAGTGTTTCCATGCGCCCAATACCTCTGTGGCTGAGCCTGAGTTCCAAGAGCCTTGGAGATAATTCTGAAATGTTTTGCCATTTGGGAAATTAAAATTTTACAGTGACAAAATTGCATATGTTAAAAAATAAAGGCAAAACAAAACCAAAAGAATGACTTCAATTAATGGGTCAGCCTAGGGAAATGGGTTTTTTATTTGTTAAGAACCAAGGGACTGAATAAAGATCCATCAATATACAGTACCAGGTAATTCTAATTAACTACTGTAAGCAAGGCGTTTGTCTCACTTAGTTTAGGATCCACAGGGGAAAATAGCACTTCCTTCTTAATGTACAGGCATTATCTAACATTCTACAAAAGAATCTTGTTTTCCCTTGAAATCTTTGATTGTTCTTTTCTAGCTAATATTTTTGTTAATCAATACTTGATTAGATATTTTCACTTTTAAAGTACTTTAAAATCTTAAATTTTACAATAAAAAGATTGTTGAACACTATCATTGTTTTTAACAAAGTATAAAATATATAGAAAGAAGCTAGAACTTGGAAGGATAAAAAATACGGAGTTTCACACCATGTGGAAATGGAAAGAAAAACTGTGTCACCTCATTGCCAATTTCATCTAGCTAATCTCTCTTTTGCCAGTTTTGAATTTTTATTACCTTTATTGAGATGACAATTAATTAAAACTAAATTATCAAAAATTAGACAAATTAGTCATTTAATGAATTTTTATAATTTCTCTCTATCCGTCATACACCGATGCATTTTATATATAAATAGAGTGAGCACTGGTATTTATTTTATAATTTTCACTTACCATACCAAATATTTTACCATTTGTGTAAATATTGATCAACGTTTATTGGCTACATATATCTCGTTGAGTCAAGATGTTATAATTTATTGAACTCTTCAGTAATATAAAATACTTACATTGTTTCCAAATGTGATTGATTCTTTTTGCAACATAAGTTATAATAATGCAATGATCACTTTTATATTCATGCTGAATTATTTTCTTAAGATAAAGTCTAAGAAAGAAAGTACTGAGTCAAAAGATATTATTTTCTCATGGCTTTTTTGCTACATATTTTTTCTTATGTTTGCTGCAAACATGACTCAACTGATACAGAATGCCAGTGGCAGGGAATTGGTGTATCATTTCACTACACATTACCAACAGTGGAAGTTCTGATGAAAAAATTGATACCTTATTAAGTGCTTTTGGTGTTTCAGGATTACTTAAAATTTCCATTTCTTTGACAATTAGACAGTTATGTTTAAGTTAATTGGAGCTGCCAGAGTCATTCTTCCAGTTTTTCAGATGTGTCTAAAATTTAATTCCAGGGACTTCATAAATGAAACTTGTTATACAGTGGTATATCACCAAATAAAATTACTTATAAGGTTGAATTGCCTTAGTTACTTATAAAATGTACTAAAAGAACCTTGTTAAAAGAATGATCTCATTTTTAAAAGGCTCAAAATGAATTCATTATAACAAAGCATGCCTACAATATTTGATATTTTACTTGCCTTTGATTGAAAAGTTTATTTTTAGTTTGCTATAGAGCACATGCACTCACTGGAAACACAGAATGAGGGAAAGTAAGAAATCATCCTCCAGGGAGGATGATCACCCCACAGTCACAACTCCTCCCTTCTCCTCTTGGGGTTTTGGGCATGTATATGCCCGGTGTATTTTTCGAGATGCTGGGTCCTAGACTCAAACTGCAGAGTGTCATGTGGGATCCAGAGCCTAAGACTCCATAACACCTGCTGGCCTGAAAACTTGATTTATTAATAGCATTTCACTGATTCTGTTACCCATGTGCATGGTCTAATTCTTCTCCCTCTTCCTATCAGAAAGGTCACTTGGTTGGTTCTATGATTTTTTTCTCTGGTTTACTGAGCTCTATATGAGAAATAAAAGAAAAAGATTAAATAGTTTGCAGGAGACCTTTTTATAGACATTTTAGTCAGAGCTAGAGAACAAGAGATCACTTATATCATAGTAGTGATCTAGTTTTGAGGGGAATGTTATATTATTAATTGAACCAAAGATAACATCCCCTCTATAGTATTATTGTTCAATGGTCAGAGAGTCCAGGCTAGACTATCTCCATGGACTGAGGCTTATCACCCTTCAATAGTTTTCTCCCATTTATTCTTTTTTTTTTTTTTTAATGTTTTATTATTCTTTTTTTCCCCTAATTTTTAAGTCATGATTCCTGGTTTGCAAATAATCATTTCACATCTTTGTGGTGTACAGTATGGTTTCTCAAAGCATGCATACAGTGTCTGATAATTAAATCAAATATATAAACATATTAATTGCTATCACCCTTGGACATTACAGAATGTACCCATTTTTATTTTATTTTTGTAGAGGTTTTCACCATGGAATGCACTCACCAGAAAAACAGAAAGTGAGAAATCACCCCCTAGTGAGGATGGCCACGATGCAATACCTTCTCCTCCATTCTCCTCGGCACACACACGCATGCGCCCAGCATGAGATTAAGCCACCAGGTCCGGGACTCAAATCGTGGTTGACTACATGGGAGTCCAGCGACATAGCCATTACAACTGCTGGTCCTCAGAATGTGCACTTTTGATTACAGTTCTACTAGTTTTTTTTTTTTTTTTTTTGGTTGTTGTTTTGTTGGAAATATATATTGAGTTGCCAGCAACATGTTTACTCAGTTGTGGTAGGGTCCATAACCTATTCAACTTCTGTACTTACTTGCTTTCTTGTATCTGTTGCTCATTTTTTTCCATTCTCTCCGAATCTCCCTCCCCACCCCCTGGAGCTTCCGATACCTCCCATCACTCTCTCTACTTCTAGGCCATTGAGTACTTCAGATTCCTCCATAGAGGGCAGACATTAGGTATAAGTTAAGTGGGAACATACAGTATTTGTCTTTTGTAGCCTAGTTAATTTCACTTAGCATTATGTACTTTCATGTTCATCTACTTTGTGTCAGATGATAAGACTGTGTTGTTCTTTATAGCTGAGTAGTATTCCATTGTGCACATGTGCCACAGTTTCAAAAATATAGACTGCTTCATGAATTTGCATCTCATCCTTGTTCAGCGGTCATGCTGATATCCTCTGTACTGTTCCGGTCTAAGACTGGAAGAATGGCTTTTTGAAATCTGAGTTGACCTTTCAATTTAGCCTAATCTCACCCTAAAGGTAGCAATTCTGTGCTCACATTTCAAAAAGGTTTAAGGTACTGATGAAGATGAAGTCTGATAAGCAAATTTTTGTACAGTTCTGCTTGCTCTCTCATTTTCCTTTTTCTCTTTTCATTTTAAATAATAAAAGAAGTAAGCCTGGAAAGGTCAAATGCTTTAGGTTTTGTCAGGCAGTGTGGGATTTCTCCAGTGAAGAATATATCCCAATTCCCTGGAATGTCAAATTGAAGCTGAGTTGGTCAGTAGAACCAGGTCACATGGGATCCCCTGGGAGGATTGGCCCACTTCCCTTCTTAACATGCACAATTAAAACTTGAAGCGATAGATTTCTTTGACCTCAAATTTGTTTTTAAAAAAAAGAAAGGGAAAAAGGAAAGACTATTATAACATTTTTCAGCTCTAAGAGTGTTCAAGCCAAAGATTTGAAAACTGATTCTCTAGAGAAAGATCAAGAAGAGAAGCAGATGAAGCAAAAATGGAATATCTTACTGTTATATGTTCTTAAATTCAGAAGTTGTAAGTAAATGTCCATTGTTAGAAAATTGCATGTGATTGATCAATAATGCCATAGCCGACATAAAGGTCTAATGATTGGCTTAAAAGTATTCAACTTGGATGCCTAAGGTTATTATCTTGACTATCTACAGGATTTTTGTGTTAAAAGTTTTACAAGTCTTGGTGTTTTGTTTTGTTTTGTTTTCCTATCCTATAAATTTGAAGGAATATGGGAGCAAAACGTGATTCTAAAAATGTGTTATAAAGATAGGGTTCATGTCTGAGTTGCCTGTGACAATGCCTAGAATTAAAACTGAAGCAAAATAAGTTCTCAGTAAATGTTTATTGAACGAATAAATGAAAGAGTAATTGATTTTGGTTAGGCTTAAGTTTTGTCATAGATATGCTGAGTGGTTTTGTCCAAATTATTTAATAAATTTGTGTAGTTTGTTCCTCTTAGAATCCCTGGGCACTTTAGGAAGATTAATAATTATTGATCCAAAGAGTGTTATTAATTCATCTAGGAACTCAGTTCATTAATATTGTCAATTCATTTGTATATTTCCATTAGTATTCATTTTTGAAATTGTGATGGTTGCTATCATACTGCTATCTGTGATTTTAATCAGACATCTCAACACAGAATGTTTTGAAAAATATTCTGAAAATCATTATGATCAACATTACTATTGCTGTTGTATTAAGGCATAAAGTAATTACACCATATATATTTCTAGTAATATAAGAATTTGCTTAGGGATCTGCAGGTGGTGTGATGGTTAAGGTGTTGTAATCCCACATTGGCAACCATGGTTTGAGTCCCGGACCTGGTGACTTGCTTTTTCACTTTCCCTTTCTCTCTGTCTCTCTCTTGGCAAGTTAAAAAAACAATGATAATAAATAAAATTAAATAAATAATAATTTTTAAATGTTTTTAAGCCACACTGTATGAAATACCTACTATGTCTCAATTGTTTTTGAATCATTGTGAATAAGACTAGAAGTCAGATAAGATCACTGAACGTGTCTTCTACTTGAGGTTGGAAGTGCACAAAATATAAAGAAAGTAGAAAGGTAGAAAGCATACAAAGATAAGTTCTTAGGAGAAGATAGAGTAAATGTGAAAGAAAGTGATGAAGAGCTGTGAGTTATTTTAGATTGAGTGATCAGAAAAATCTCTCAGAAGAGACGGCGTCTGAGCTGAGCCTGGAGGTATAGGGAGGAACCAGTGCCAGAGTCTTAATGCAAGGATGAATAGGAGGTTCTAGGAACAACAATAACTTCATTATGGCCAAAACACAGACAGCAAGTGAAGAATAATAAATTTGTATCAGGATGTTATGCGCAAGGAAAAAGGCAGTGAACTTTTCCTTTGTCCTTTAGATTTTCTTGTTTTCTTAGTACTCTAAGAGAAAGAAAGCTGAGATGTAATCTGAGTTTGAGAATTTATTTCTAATACATTGGTTCATTCTACTTCCTGGAAGTGCTATTTCTAATACATTGGTTCATTCTACTTCCTGGAAGAGCTATTTCTAATACATTGATTCATTCTACTTCCTGGAAGTGCTATTTCTAATACATTGGTTCATTCTACTTCCTGGAAGTGCTGAGGCCTCTGGTAACTGACATTAAGCAACAGGCAGAGTCCTGTTGTATGTGAACATGAATATGCTCTGGTTTTGTAAACAGGAAGTGTTCGGAGAGAAGACTGAGTTTGCAGGGTCCCTTGTGCTTTTTCTTGCATAATAAAAGCAAAATTAGGCTAATCAGGGGGTGGAAAATGGACTATGAAGAAATCAGTATGTCTCGGAAGATAATAATGTGTTCTAACACTTTCTTGGTTGGCATAAAGAGGAAGACGTAAAAATAAATGCATTTTTTTTAACACCAGGAAGGATGAGTTAGGATTCATAAATAGCACTAAATACTAATTAAAGCATTAAGAAGACACACATGAAATACAGATTTTTCATATATATTTAAGTCTTTCATCATGAAATTTAAACATAATATTGGAAAAAAATGATATAATATATGTACCCATTACTTATTTCAGAAATTCTCAAAGTTGTGCCTGTGTTATTTTAACTAATCCCCACATCATTTTTGTCAAAGTATGAACTTTGTAAAGCAAACCCTGGATGTCACAATGATTTCATCTATAAATACGTCAATATAATGCAATAATGGATAGGGCATACTTTAAAAACTAGACCTCATAGATATAATCTCACCTTAATAAATTAAATACTTTAAAAATATTAATAACCAGACCATATTCTAATTCCCTTGTTGTCTTAGGCATTTCTTTTTTTTTTTTTCCGAAATACGGCACGTGCACTTGCCAGAGAGACAGAGAGACATAAAGTGAGAAATCACCCCCCAGGGTATCACCACACCACAATCCCTTCTCCTCCACTCTCCTCTTGGGATCTTGGGCACACATGCACACGCACCTGGCATGAGTTTAAGCCACTGGGTCCAAGACTCGAACCATGGTCAACTACATGGAAGTCTAGCAACATAGCCATTACGCCAACTGCTGTTCCCTAGGCAATTCTTCTCACAGTTTTTTTTTTTTTTTTTTCAAATCAGAATAAAAAAATGTCTGTACATTAAAACTGGTTTGCCTCTTTCTGAAGTTTCTATTTTGTAACAGCCTCTTCCTCTGAACTTTTTATTTGTGGGGAATCAAGCCATTTGTCTTGGGAAATGTGCCATATTCTGAATCTGTTTCTCCTTGCTATTGTTTACATCATTCCTCTAGTCTACACGTTCTTCTACTTGGAGTTAACTAGATTCAGAATCAATTGTGTTTTTTTTTTCCCCAAGAAATAATTTTACAGTCAATGCTTGTTACAACTAAATTGTATGTGAAGGTAAGCATCAAATAAACAGCCATGAGATTTAAATGGTGCCAGGATTGACCACTACCTTAGGTGCTGTCAACCTAGTATAGGCTTTCTCATCAATATGCAACCTAATAGGTTTCATATCCACTAGCAAACATTGATTGCTTAGAACAATTATTTCACTCAGAGGTCTAACATATATATGTAAATATACATTATTATATTCTACTTCTCACCTAGAATTCTTTTGCAAAGAAGATATTGTCCTCAATTACACTTAGCTATTTTAAAATATCATTTATAGAATAAAATAAGCCACCTGAGTTGTGCAGTATAGATAGAATAGTGGTTTATGTGTCTCTGTCTATTATCTAGTTATTTTAAGATGCTACCTCTGGCTAAGGACCCGGGGAGGATACACAGAAACACTGGTGTTTGAGTTGACTTTCTTCCTTCCTTCTCTCTCTCTCTATTTTTTTTTTCTCATTCATATTTTCTGCCTTTCCTTATACACAATAAATTTTACAGTTCTAATGTCTATAGTTTGACAAATTTTACAGTTGTACATACACATGTAATTTTTATTTAAAACATCACGTTTACCTTACAACATAGTTTCCAGGCAATTCTACCTTTCTCCAAAGAAATAATAACTTAATGATTTCTGATCTGTATCTCCATAAATTAGTTTGGACTCTTCTTGGAGCTCATGTGAATTAAATCATATAGTGTGGGGATCTTTTTGGTGGGAGTGGGCCCATATCTGGATACTTATTCCTGAAGCAATGTGTTTGATAGTCACCAGTGTTAAGTGCATCGCTAGTTCATTCTTTTCGGTTACTAAATTGTATCAATATTTTATTGTATAAACGTACCACAATCTGTTTATTTTCCATTTGATGAACAATTGTTCTATTTCTTGTTTTTGCTACTAATGAGTAAAGTTGCTATACACATTTTCTTGCCAGTCTATATGTGGACATCCGTTTTTTAGTTTTCTTGGATACATTCTTAAAAGTATGACTTCTAGACCTGCAATGAATGGATGTTTCAACTTTATTGAGGTATGATTTAATCACGCTAAAATGTCCATATCGAAAGTATATGATTTGGCCAGTTTGAGCATGTGTGTGTATCCTTGAACTCATAACCACAATCAAAGTAAACATTTCTTTTTTTTTTCTTTGAGAGGATTTTTGTTTTGTTTTGTTTTGTTTCCTGCTATAGGATGCGTGCGCTCACCAGACAGACAGAGAGAGACAGAAAATGAGAAATCACCCCCAGGGGGATGGCCACACCAAAATCTCTTCTCCTCCATTCTCCTCTAGGGATCTTGGGCACGCACGCACACGCACCCAGCATGAGTTTAAGCCACCGGGTCCGGGACGCGAACCGCGGTCGACTACATGGGAGTCCAGCAACATAGCTATTACGCTAACTGCTGGTCCCAAGGTAAACATTTCTGTCACTTCCCAGAAGCATCTTTGATAATCAGTAATCCATTTATTGCTCAATACCACATCCCCAAAAACTAATGATCTGCTTTCTGACACTGTAGACTGGTTTGCATTCAAGAGTTCTATGTAAGTGGAAGCACACAATTTGT